GCACGGGCGATCCGGGTGAGGGGTACGGGCCCCAGGACTGCCCGCTGTTGGGCCCGGGGCGAAGGCTCACCCTGGTAGGAGCTGGAGGAGGAAGGCGTGGGGCTCATCCCGGCTGCCTCCCCAAAAATCCTGCAGGGGGGAAGGGAGAGAGAGAGAGAGAGAGAGAGAGAGGGATGACGCGGGGGGTGCCAGGGGAGACAAGCACCTGGCCTCGTTTCTTTGCCTGCCATTCCAAGAAAACTTCCTTTCGCTGCAATGGAGGAACTCGAGCGAAACAGACGCTGAGCCTCCAGAGCGAGGGGCAGTCTACCCCCAGGCCAAGCCGCCGTTCACATCCATTAGCAGCCTTATTCGACGTCTGGATTCTTTCCATTGTTTCTAAGGCCAGAGTCACTTCTTGAGACGGGAATTAGAAATTAGACCAAATATATCAGATAAAAATGAAAATTCAAAGTGGGGCTGGGAGGGAAAGAGAGGAAGCTGTTGACATTTCCGCACCAGCGGTTTTAAGCCTCTGCCACCCTTGTTACCTGTCTTTTGTAAGAATTGAAAAAGCACAAACACACAGACACACACACACACCACTTTCTGAGAGAATCTGGAGGCCGTTCAGAGCAAGGGCGCCCCCTGGTGGCCCACACAGAGGCCTGGACAATGTTTAATGGAAGTTGAGTCTCACAAACATCTCCTGCCTGGAACGTTAATAATATTCTGCTGGCCTGGCATTACCTGGTGGTGCCTCATCCACGCCGGACTTGGGTCTTAACTGCTTTTTTAGGTAGCAAACATAATAAAAAGCTATGATTTTCTTCCCCCGAGCAGACACTTCCACACTTCTGCCTCCATCCAGAGAAGAAAAGGACTCAAATGATTCATTCCCCAATGCAGCTTGGCTCACTTGCACCAAGCTACCTAATGCAGCACTCCATGCAAACCGCCTGGGCCTGCACTGCCTCCATGTAGAACCCCCCCCCATTAATCCGCTGCTCCTGCAATACCCCATCCCTCCAACCCCTCACTCACCCGCTCTCCCCTTCCCGCAGCTTCTTGGCGGCCGCTTGCTTGGATCGTCGGATCTCGGAATCCAATTTGAAGAGGAAATCGGCAGCCGAGAGGTCATGTTTGGGGACAGAGCCCCCCGAAGAGCCGTTCTTCCGGGGCTGCTTCTGCTTTTTGGTCGACTCGGGCCGGAGGGCCTCCCCTCCCTCCTCCTCCTCCTCCTCCTTCTCCAAGTCCAGTCCATTGGACAAAGCCTTGGGCTTGGTCGGCACTGGGATCAATAGAGTCTTTTTGAGGAAGATGGAGTCGTTGGTGTACATCCGGTTGGCCCTCTTGATCTGCTCCGTCTGGAAAAGGAACGGGGAAGGAGAGCAAAACAAGGCGCTAGTCCTCATTGCTCAAGAGGGCAGGCCCAACGCCCACTGGCCTTCCCTGTGCCAAATGTTGGGTTCAAAGAGCATTTCCCGGGTGTCCGTTGGCTGATCTGAGGGACAACGTTTTTGGGAGAGGTTCTGCACAGGCTTTAGTGCTGTGGCTTATGGGAGTTGTGGCTAAACGCTTGCAGATTTGGGGATCTAAGTGGAAGCCCCCAGCTGGGGAGGCCTTGGAAGGATCGGGCGGCTGCAATAAGGGAGGCAGCCTATCTTAGAAGGGGGAGGAGAGGGGGGGCTCTGCCTGCCCCTTGCAGATCCGGCGGGCTCCCCTTCTGGAAAGGCACTCTGTGCATGCTCAGAGGCTGCCGCCTTCCCCCCCCCCCCCCCCCCCCCCCCCGGCCCCCCCCCCCCCCCTCTGCCCCCCGCCACCCCGTACATGACGGCCAGGCCCTGCAAAGTGTCCCCGGGGCGCAGCTGGTGCTCCAGCCGCCGTTCGCGCACGGGCGAGCTGACCAGGCTGCCGTAGGACCGCGCCCGGCTCCCCCGCAGCAGCCCGGCGGCCCCCGGAGACCCCCGCCCGGAGGGGGAGGAGGCCATCCCGCCAGGCCGGCTCCGAGGAGGGAGGGAGGGAAGGACGCTGCTGCCCCGCTGCCCGCCGCCGCCGCCCTCGCCCTCCTCCGGGGCATCTCAGCAGGCGCCCCCGGCCAGGGCCGGCGAAGAGCGGGCGGGCGACCCCATGGCGACCCCCGAGGCTGCTCCGGCGGACAGTTGAACCGGAGACCCCCGACACCCTCTCGGCCCCGCCCTCTCGGCCAGCTGATCGGCCGCAAAGGCTGCTGGGCCTTGTGGTCCTGGCTCCTCCCCCCTCCAATAAGATCCAGTTTTTTAGCCGCCACCCCCCCCCCCGGGACAAACTACATGGCCCATGCTGCCCCCCTGGCAAAGGAGGATGGGGGCTGTAGTCCTCCTTTCTTTTCAGTTAAGGCCTCATCCATCCCAATTGAGGAGCTTTTTCCCCTTGCAGCGTTGAAAGAGGATTTCACCATCTTTTATTATTATTATTATTATTATGGGTGATTTTGCAGGATTTCCGACCTCTTTTTTCTGCAACGGCCGAAGCCAACCAAACTTTTTTTTATTTTTTATTTTTATTTTTCTTATATGTTATCCATGTATTCATAATTATGTTTTTACTTCTACCTATTATCTTGGAAGCAATTGACAAACCAAATAAAATAAAATAAACATAAACTTCCCGCGGGGCCTGCCGGGAAACGGAGTCCTTCGCCTGCAGGCCGCAGAGAAAGAGAAGGCCGGCGCGCCCCCTGCCGTCGGCCGGGAGGCGCGTTCTGATTGGCGGAGCGGGGAAGGGCTCGTCCAGCCCGCTGCCTGCTGGGAAATGTAGTCCGGTCGTCTCTCCGGGAAGAAAAACCCTCGCCTCTGCCAGGCGGGGGGCAGCGGTGGGGTTTTTTTCTTTGGGGGGGGGGAGCATGTCCTTCAAGCGGGGGGGCGGCGGCCCCAGCCAGCCGCGGGCGCCCAAGGTGGGGGGGGGGCGTCGGGGGGGCATGGCGGGGGGGTCATTCTGCCCGGGGGCCCCCCGTCCTTTGCTGGCAGCTCTTTGCTGCTCCATGTCCAGGCGGTGCCGGAGCATGTGCAGAGTGCAGGCCAGCGCAGATTGCTCCTGAGGGTTGCAGCCAGAAGATGAGGGTTGTAGTCCAGCATCCAGGAAGGCCACCATTACCGGGGGAGGAGGCCTGGGCTAAGAGAAGGGGGCCTCGCCCTCTTCCATTCATCCCCCCTTCCTCCCCCCCTCTCCTCCCCCCCTCCCCCCATGCTTCTGCAAACAACCTGACCTGTTGGACTTCCACCTGCTTTGCTCCCTATCCAGAAACGGAGGGTGGCAGAGCTTCTGGCCAATTATATCCCCGAGGACGAAGCTTTGCTGCTGCGCGATGGCAGGTGAGGTCTTGCTTGGGGGCTCGGCCCCAAGTGCGGATCCTGAGGCTGCTCTGCGCGCGAGGTTGGAGGGGGGTTGCAAAGGCTTCCTCTCCGCCCCCACTTCCCTCCCTCCCTTTTCTAGGTATTCCTGCACCGTCTGCTTCCACAGGCCGGTTTTCGACACTCTGGACATGCTCACCATTCACCGTTCTGGGAAGAAACACTTAGCCGGTAAGGATCCCCCCGGCCTCCAGCTAATTTCAGCATCCCCCCTCCACTCTGCAACCAGCGTAAAGACCTAGCCCAGTGAGGCTCTCCGCCAAATCGGCTTGCATGTGTTTACAAGCCGCGGAGTCGGAGAGCTTCATCCCATTTTACAGACGGGGAAGACGGAGGCCCTGAGATTTTGCCTCCTCCAGATGGCTTAAAAGTCCGGCTGCTGAGCATGGGGGGCTTTTTTGGGGGGGGCACTCTCTCCATCGCAGGTTTGCAGAGGTTTTACGGGAAGAAGGTCTCTCTCGAGAACGAAATTCAGAAGCGTCATCACCAGGCGTACCTGGAGGCGGAAGAAAATGGCACCCAGGTAGATCCTGCTGGGCTCTGATCCGCTGCTCTTTCCCACAGGGTGCACTTCTTTAAAAATAAGTCCTTTATTCCGAAATAAATGCTTGGCGTGGAGGGAGCCTTAGAATCGCCGCTGAGAACTTAGCACAGAGGTCCCTAAACTTGGCCCCTTTAAGACTGGTGGACTTCAACTCCCAGAATTCTCCAGCCAGCTATGCTATGCTATGCTATGCTATGCTATGCTATGCTATGCTATGCTATGCTATGCTGGCTGGAGAATTCTGGGAGTTGAAGTCCACCAGTCTTAAAGGGGCCATGTTTAGGGACCCCTGACTTAGTAGGTTAAATTAAAACCCCTCCAGATTCTGGCTTTGTTTCCTAGGCGGCTCAGGGCCCAGCCCCCTTGCTTGCCCAAACGAGGAAGATTACCCAGAATGCCTTGCTGAAAACGGTGCCTTACAACAGCTGCTGCCGCTCCAAAAGGTGAGACCCACGTCTGGAAAAGGCCAGCCGCTGGTTCTCTGCTCTCTCTGCCAGGAAGGTCAGTTAATATGAAAGCCTGGGTCTCTGATTTGGTGCAGGAACGAGGCCAGTGCCAGCACTTCCGGGCCGAGTGCCAGCTTCAGAGCAGCCGAGACCCCCGCGATGCCCAAGCCCTCCGGTTCTGACTCGGTGGACAAAGAGCGGCAGGTCGAAGAGGAAGGGAGCCCCTCTGCCTGTTTGTCCAGCTGCAGACGCGGAGCAGGAGGTCAGAAGCCGTTTTGAGATCTTGTCAGTAAGCCCAGACACCGAATGCGCAGAGAATGGCGGCCCACCTCGCAGGGAGCGTAAACCCTAACCCTGGGAAAGGAGGGTTAGCCAGGGAAGTGTCGAGGACAGGAAGGGGGAATGTAAGACGTGAATCTTGTTTAGGTCCAAGAAGCAGCATTGTGCATGAAAGGTGGCTTAAACGTGGCTTATTGCCCTATAGCCACCCAGAGTCTCTGGATACCAGATGGGGGCAAATAAACTTCATGATCAGTCAATAAACAAAGCCCCCGTTGGCTCCACCTGCACAACCAACTGCCTTTGCTGTCCACAGGGATGTCGCCCACGAGCAAAGCTAAGTCATTTTCACAGTCCTTCTTCCTCACAAAGCCTCGAGAGAAGAAGTTTGCCCGTCAAGGAAAGGGGCGCAAGACACGGAAATCACCTGAGCCCAACGATCCGGAGAAGCGACGCACTTTGGAGCATTACCTGAAGCTGAAAAGGTAACTCCAGAGAAGAGACCCTGGGTGAGGGGCTGCTTATACTAGTCTGGAGTCTCCTTCCTTGGCCAAATTTCCTTCCTTTTCTCGCAGTTCGGGGTGGATCCAGGACGGGTCTGGCAAATGGGTCAAAGACGAGAATGCGGAGTTCGATACGGATGAGGAGGAGCCCCCAATGCTGCCCCCATCCTGATGGCGGACAGAAAGCCCCCCACCCTCCCCTGGCCATGCCTTGGAAGAGTGCCAGGAAGACCCGGAAACCTGGAATTAAATTAAATGCACTTTTGGCCCAGACCCTGGGCGTTGGAAGCAACCTTTTGCCACCTTTGTGTGTTGTCTTTTGGTGGTACGATTGTTCAGGGTTAATTCCTCTTCGGCTGCCGTTTGCATTTAGTTTCCAACAACGCCTTCCTTAAGTTCGTTGGGCAGTTTCTGGACAAGGCGGCGGCTGGAGAGAAAAAGCCACGAGGACATCTGAATAAAAACAGAATTTAAGGGAGCTGCTGCTGTTCAGCTGGACGAATCAAGAGCTTCTTCCTCAGGGACTTGGCTGCTGGCTCTTATTTACGTCGCGCTGCCTTCAGAACAGCGAAGACGGGAACCTGGTTTTCTATCTGGGGAACTAAAAAAGACCAAACTCTCTTCAATTCGTCATCCGAGAGGTTTAGGTCTGAGAATCTGGAGACAGTTCAAATTCCCCTTTGTTTTTCTGCTCAGCGCTTATAATCAGGAGCCGTTTTAAATGATTATATTTTCTTCCTTCCTTTCTTTACCTGGTAGATGCTGTTTCTTGCATGCTCCCTGCAGGCAAGGATTATGCACCCTCCTTGGGAATTTTGGAGACCCGGGACTCCTCCTCCTCCTCCTCCTCCCCCCAAGGAAGCCATTTCAGGGTCCTTGCAACCTGACCCTCTGGTTCTCCCATTTCGCCTGCCGTGTCTCAAGGACAGGCTGGGGGGTGGTGGTGGTGGCAGCCAGCAACACCTGCTTGGGATAATTCTCCCCCATGGCAGCTTCTTCGGACAGCGGCCGGCTTTGGTCGTCTCTGGTTTCAGGCCGGGACGGCGGTCCCGGGCCACGAAAAGCCAAGCCAGCCGAGAGGAAAACCAAGGTGATTTGCCCAAAGTGCTGCTTGGGTCCTGTTCATCCCTCCCCCTCCCCTTGTTTCTTATTTCCCTTCCCCCCATCCCAGGTTGCCTAGGTAGGTCTTACCTTCCCCAAATCTTTGAGCGTTCTCTTGACCCCAGGGAAGGGATCCATGTCCCGAGTGCTCAGATGTTCAATAATCCTTTTTTGTCTCAGCTGCCTTTACTGTAGGCAGGAGAACCAAGCCCCCTCCTCCCTCCCTCTCCCCCCCCCAATTCCCAAGACCCCAGGCCCCTTTATTTAAGGCAAAGACACCACCAGGGTCCCCGAGCCTGCGTACCAAGTACAGGTAGTCCTTGACTTAAAGCAATTCATCTAGTGACCATGTGAAGTTATATTTTGGGCTGGAGGACCAGCTGTAATCAAGAGCCTTAATCGTTTTTTTAAAAAATGGCTTCCGTCTCGGGAAGATCTCAAGCGCCGCAGCGGCAAACGAAGCCCGTTGGGAAGGAAGGCCCTACATCCCTCGGGAGGGAAGGAGGCGGGGCAGCATCGTTCAGATCTCTTTATTTACAGAGGTATTTAAAAGGCGGGGGGGGCTCAGAGGAGAAAAAAACCTAAGTTGGGCTCGTGAGCCCCAGAATCACTCTTGGGCTGCTTTGGAGTTGTAGCCATGGGGAGGGAGGGAAGGAGGTGCCTGAGCCATGGAAGCCGCTTCCGGGATGATGGAGCCACCAATTTATGTCTTCTTCTGTTTGCGTCCTGCAAAAGGAAAAAGAGATGAAAAGCGAGAAGATAGCTGGCAAGACCTCTCCCCAGCTTATCCAGCCCATCCATCTCGCTCTTCCTCCCTCTCTCCCTTTCCTTCCCTTTCTTATCCTTCCCTTTTTCATCCTTCTCTTCCCTCCCCCTCTTCCTTCTTCCCTTCCCTTTTTCATCCTTCCTT